TGGCTGCGGTCAGTGTGCGGGTGGGTGACCACTTGGATCAGCCTGCGTAGGGACCGAGGGTGTGCGGTATTGGTCCTCGTTAAACTGTGCTACCGTAAAGTGCTCGACTTCGCGCGCAGGTCGTCGAGCTACCGAAGCGGGGGTGCCATCCCCTCCGCAGAGGATCAAAATTGTGATGGCATGTCTTCGGATCATCCTCCGGGATGTTTCCCAGACCGTCGCCAATAGCCCATTGTGCAGCTCTAGTGCGACGTAAATTAACAACAACAACAACTATGTTGTTTCTCGATCGTTTTTTCAACGGACGAAACTCCGTATGGTTTTAAAAAAAACCCACTATTTTTTTTTTATAGAATATTACGATACACGAATTTGAGCAATCACTTTTTGACTAGCTTTGCTCTTGCCGATTTTATCATAAATCCATGTGACGTTTCGATCTTCTTTTTTTTTGCATATATAACAACTGATTTTCAAGTGGTCTTTAGTCCCGCAGTGGACTGATCGTTGAGACACGGTTCCCAGCAGATCACCGAAGTCAAGCATCACTGTCTGCGGTTAGTGTGCGGGTGGGTGACCACTTGGATCAGCCTGCGTAGGGACCGAGGGTGTGCGGTATTGGTCCTCGTTAAACTGTTCTACCGTAAAGTGCTCGACTTCGCGTGCAGGTCGCCGGGCTACCGAAGCGGGGGTGCCATCCCCTCCGCAGAGGATCAAAATTGTGATGGCAAGTCTTCGGATCATCCTCAGGGATGTTTCCCAGACCGTCGCCAATAGCCCATTGTGCAGCTCTAGTGCGACGTAAATGAACAAATCAAATCATTAAATAACTAAAACAAATTTTCACTTCAAACTCACCAGAATTACAAAATAACATTAATATCTTATGAAATACAGCAGATTGGAGCTCAGAAATTATCTAATTTATTTATTTCATTGAAAACAAAATTATCCGTTTGAAAATATCGCCTTCGCATATGGCATGTCTTCGGATCATCCTCAGGGATGTTTTCCAGACCGTCGCCAATAACCCATTGTACAGCTCTAGTGCGACGCAAATGTACAACAACAGCAACGAGTGGTCTTTAGATCCCGATACATTTATTACGATATAACAACTTGGGAGTTATGAATCGCGCATTTAATTAATCCCTTTTTGACGTGCTTTATTTATGCCGATTTCATCATAAATGGAATTTTCTTTTTGAAAAAAAAAAAGTTATTGCTACGCCTTTTCACGTTATAGTGAATATCGCGTATTTTTACGAAGATGTTATTACGACACACGAGTTTAAAGTCGCACATTTAAATAATAATCTTATGACTAGCTTTGTTTTTATCCAAGTTATTTTTCAATCATTTTTCCGACAGTTTTCACGATGCATTCCTAGGTGGTTTTAAAAATTAAAGATTTTATTACGACATACGGATTTAAAATTATGTATTTATATAATTACTTATTGACGTGTTTTCTTTGTATGCTGATTTCATTGTAAATCTAGGCTTGGGTGCAATTATTGCGATATTTCTTCACGTGATTTTGACAATCCGATCCGGTTACTTTAACTATTTACAACACCCGAGTTTCTAATCGCGCATTAAAATAAGCACTTTTTGATACAGTTTATTTGCACATATTTAATCGTAAATATAAAATATTTTTCCGTCAGTTTTTTGACAGTTAGTACCACGCACAGAGCGTCGTCTAGAAATGAGGAAACCCAAGACGCAGAACTGTCAGGAATACTATGACGTATTGTTCAATCATAAAGTGTTTTTTAAATTATAACATAAGTAAATTATATCAGTAAATTTAAACCTACATTGATTCAATTTTTGTGAACTCATAATTCTAATAGACAATCTTAAGGAAAAACACAAAAAGAAATTATTTGTAGCATTTAGGGCAGGGATGGCGAACCAATGGCACGAGACACAATATTTTGGGCACGCCACCGATTACACAGTTCACTATGAAGCACATTAACAATTAAATTAAAACTCATAAAGAACAAAAAAATAGGCAGTTATTAACAAAAAAATTAACATGATTAAACTCTAAAAAATTAACATGATTAAACTCTTTTAGGTTTTTCCCATCTTCGTCTCCCTTATCCTTTTCATATTAAATATATATTTTGCTGCTATGGAAACTTGGAATTTTTTTCTTTAAATATATACTAATAAATGTTGAGTCTTAATTTGTACTATAATGGTTTTGTTTTAATTTTTGTTTAAACCCTGTAAAGTTTCTTTATTTAAAATATTTCATTCAAGTTTATATTACCTATTAAATAAAGTGTTTTTTTTTATACTTTCATTCTGTGAGCATTATTTCTTGTTGTTGCTAGAATTTAAATTCCCCCTCTAAATATATAAATTATATATATTTTTGAATAATCAATTATTGATAAAAGGGGAAAATAAAAAAAAAACTATTAGTTTTCTCATTTTTGAATGAATTCTTAAAATAAAAAGTACTTAATTTTCTGCAAATATGTTACCAAGTTTGCTAATAAAGAAAATCAGTGATTGAACACCAATGTTTTCATAAAAATTATTATATTTGCTACCAACATAACTAAATATATGAGTGACCCTTCATTGGTCAAACTGTTGTGCAAGTGGCCTTTCATTTAAATCAATTACCCCTTCAGATCAATTAGTATTTACGTTATGCCGACCATTTCCATTTTGTATTTTTTACAAAATATGTGGTAATTAGGTTTTGAAAAACAGAATTCTGGTAAAATGTTACCAAGTGAATGGTTTAAATATCTTTTATTTTGGTTTTATTAACCAATAATGTAAAGGATTCTGGTAAAATTAATGTACTGTATAGAAAAAACAATATGGTAATTTTATTAGAATTTTTTCTCAGCGTGGGATTACATTTCATTAAACAAATGTTTTTGTTTGTTGATTTGCATAAATAGTTGATAAGATATAATGAAATATTTAAAAAGTGGAATCAAAATCAAGGGGGTCAAACTTCCATATTACTCTGATTAAGCTGTTGGGACATTTTTTTCTACAGATTGTGGTCCTTTATTAAATCTCAATCTGATCTTGTCATAAAATAATTATATATTCAGAGAAAGTAAGTCTTATATTGTAATTAAAATTATTTTCTTCACAATTTTACTCATAACAAAGTATTTGAAATATAGGTCATGATGTAAAATTTCATACCGGGCAAATTTTTTTTCCCTAAAAAATCTACATGGAAATTATTTTAAAGGCATTTCTTAAAAAGTAGTAACAATTATGATAACTGCAGTTAATTCTGAATTCCATTGATATTAATGTTATGTGCACTAAACATTCAATATTTATGCAATTTAATTTTCTATTTAAATAAAATTTACACTATTGCATATAGAAAAAATTCTGGTTAAATAACTATACCGTATTGTAAATACATTTCTGGTAGAAAAAAAACCCTAAACCTGCTAATAAAACCAAACGAAATTTTTTTAAAACTATTTAGATGGTAATGGTTGGCCGGGAAATCTGGTTTACAAAATTTTAGTTTTTATTACCAGACATTCAGTATAAATATAAAACGAAAAGTAAATTTAACAGAATAAATGCTTTTTATGAAATGCTCTGAGGTATCATAATAAAATAACCAAATTTTACCACACATTATAAAACAATAATTTACTGTTAATAAGATATTTATGTTTAGTAAAAAAAATGTCAGTTACACTATTATTTCTATAAATGGTTTAAAAATTTTGATCCAGAGATGTAATTAAATCACACTGGAACAAATTATTCACCAGGAATAAATAGGCATTCTAATTCCAAAACTTTCCTGCCCGTTTCAGTCTTGAAATATCCAATTACATCTAACTCAGTCTCAAATATTCAATTAAAATAAATGGATCATTGGTAGTAATCACTAAAACATTATAAGATGAACAAAGAACCTAAAAATTACAGCTGGCATTAATTGAGGGCACTATTCATATTTTACAATGCAAGTTAATTTAAAACCATTTTTTTTTTTAAATTGCAGATTATAAAAGGAGTAATTTCACATACCCAACAAAATTGTGTGATAGAAATTTTTATTTCAATGAATTATTTTAAAATTTAGTTTAAGTCTAATAACTGGTGATGAGTAACTTAATCGGGATAAATATTATGACCATTACATTTCAAGTCAGTGTATTAATACAAATACTTTCTTTAACAATATTAAAAAAAATTAATACAATAATATAAAATTTAGTATCTACACACAAAAAATTTGAGAGGTCAGAGTATCATTCGCCTGTGTGGTAATCAGGCCGAGAAAATGAGTTGTTAATGTATGCCAATGAATTGTAATACTATTAACTTTTACAGTAACAGCACAATTTGCTAAAGCTATTAAAACAAATATTATAATATAAAATAGTGAAATTTAAACATTGGTGTCCCCAAATACTTTTTTCCCAAACCAGTTATTCATGGCAGGTACAACAAGAGTATCAAAATAACAAGGTAAGAGAAACACACTGGGTCTAAAGTGAGTCATCTTTCAGATTGGGTTTAATTATAACAACTCTGCTGTCCAGTAGTGCTACTCTGTCCACAAATAGTAAAATCAGTTAATTGTGTAGGAAAATAACAATTTCTTAATTATACTGAATTAAAAGTTAACAGTAAAAAGGATGTAATGTATTAAAACAACATACACAGGGGTCTGTCCAGGCCGAATTTACTACCGTTTAGCGGTACCTTCACAAATTCAATTTTAGGAAAAACGGTAGTTTCACAAATTCAACTTTAGGAGAAACTTTTTCTTAAAATTTATTTTTGTATCCCTTAAGAAACGATAAATCTATATTTTTACCATGTTTTTGTATTGATTTTTTAATATAATTTTCAATTTTTCACAAATTATGTCAAAATTTTCACAAAAAAGGTACCTTTCAGAAAAACCTAAACAGACCCCTGATACAGATTGTAAATCATGAGTGCTTATGGAAAATAAAGAGAGCAATAAGTGAAAAAAATTCAAATATTTTATTTAAATAGTTTAAACTGTTTAAAATATTTTTGTATTTGGTCCTTTGGATAAGGCTTGCATGCAACACAGGTGGGAAAGTTCTCAGGTTGTTCAATCCATATCTTGTGACATATGTCTTGTGTTTCTAATTCACTTGAAAGTTTCCATAGGCTAGTTTCATCAGGTGCCTAATAAGCAAATTAAAAAATACAAAATAAATATACACATAAAAATGGTTTGATGCAATAAACAAATAATAATAATAATGGCAAAAGTCGTAAGTAATCCACTAATTCAATTCAGAAAATTAAAAGAGCATGTTACTCAGAGCTACAATTTTTAAGCTGATTGGATTTGTAATTTGAATAAATTATCACTGTCTAATTTCAAATTTAAATTTTTTACTTAAAAATACATTCTTTACATAAGTTTGAAAAAATTAGCAATGTATTTTACTGTGCTTTTAATGCAAATAATTTTAAAGCCCTTTTTTGTTGAGTATTTATTAAAAATGTTCTATTATTCCAAGAAATTGATACATAATAATATAACAGAGCTAAAATTAAGCCTAGTCTGAGACCTTATAAATTTAACTCGAGCTACCATAAAATAATTATCATCTGTTCTTCACACTAGTAGCTGATGTGAAGGATTTTGCTTTCATAATTAGGCCTGATTTATTCCCTCATAAATCTCTCATACCCATTCTTTGTATTAAAATTTTTCATTAAAATTCACTTTATTAATTTTTAAAAAAAATAATCTAATAGAGACAAGTAAACGAATCAGAGATAAATGTACAGACTAGTAATTATCTTTATGTTACTGGTTTGATGGACCAGTAACTTTATTTTCTATATTTCTACCTCTGTATTTAAGAAATAATTTAAAGGTTATTTTAAGATGCAATAAAAAAAGTATGTTTTTATTTTTTTAAATTTTTAATCCCAGTTCAAAATTGCAGCTGTTGACCCAATTCTTTATTCTAATATATAAATGAAAATAAGTTTATTTTTCAATCCAATTTTAAAATTGTAGGTGCTGCTAGTCTGTGTTGTACACCCTTCAAAAAAAAAAAAGAAAAAAAAAGATAGGTGAGAACATTTACAATAGACTATTTTTGTAGAACGGAATGAATTTGAATAGATTTAACAATATTTTGGAATAGCTTTTAAATGTTTAGATATACATTTTTATAGGTGTACACTTTAATGTTTTTTGGGAAAACAATAGCGGATCGTTTTTTACACAACAAAATTTTTATTCTACTAAAGATATTTTCTTTTCTTCCCACAATATAATTTTCATAAAAGAGTTCAAAATGCTCAAAAGTTTACGCTGTGAAAATAAACAATTTTATTAATGAATAAATATACTTTAAACTTGAAATTGTCAAATTAATCGATGAATGAAAAGTATTAATATAGTCTGTTCTTGTTAAATTATTTAAAAAAATTATTAATCACGAGGGGCTTGTCTAGGTTTTTTTGAGAGGTAAATAATTTGTGAAAATTTGACATAATTTGTGAAAAATTAAAAATTATATTTAAAAATCTACACAAAAATTTGGATTTATCGTTTCTTAAGGGATACAAAAATAAATTATAAGAAAAAGCATTTTGTGAAACTACCGTTTTTCCTAAAATTGAATTTGTGAAACTACCGGTTTTCCTACAGTTGAATTTGTGAAGGTACCGCTAAACGGTTGTAAATTCGGCCTGGACAGACCCCTGACCACGATAAGAAATTTAAGGACTGGGGTATGATTATCACATAACACGCTTATTATCTTTACAAAAAAAGGTTTGAAAAAGGAATTATTCAGTCAAATATAGAATTTAAAAGCAAGTATTTAGAACACAATCTTTTACGGCAACAGAAGATAGGTGAAATCGAAACAGTACCCGAATGTTCGTGTAATATTATAAGCACTTTTTCTGAGATAGAATAATAAAGGTAAGTTAAAAAGTTACAACAAACTTTCATTTCATAGGTTTTTTTTTACATATTTATCAGAGAACATTAAATTACTTCACCTCTAGAATGACTTTATGCATACGATCTAGATCTTTAAAGTATGCTTGTGTATGAACATCATCGTAATAAGTATGAAGTACAGCAGTTGTCGCATGACAAGCTTGCGCAATTAAAGCTCCTACAGGCCATTTACATTCTTTTAATAAATCGCCACGAACTACAACATATTGGACGAGTTGGCTACAAGCCGAAGCCATTATTGTTTATATTTACTTTTCTACTGTTGCTGATTTTTAAAAAGGAATGTTATTCATTATTCCGCATTCTAAAATGATATGCACTGTGGCCGAGAGATTAGGTTTATCGTGTGGATCATTTGCACAAATGAAATGAAATTGCTGGCATTAACGTGCGATCACGTGTGCGAGTTACATACGTGATAATGAGTAAGTAGTAGTTGAAAGATCTGATAATGAGTAAACACACTGCATGCTATTGCTCTAGCCACACGCGTGAACATGTCAGAACTAACATGTAAGACGAACATGTAACACGAACTAATAGCGTATGTGCAATTCATATTGATGTGCTGTCGCATACAGAGTGAATGCTCTATAAGGGCCTATTTAACTGAATGCGGCTTCAACGCCCTTCCGCTCACGGGAGAGAAAAATGGAGTCTCATTTTCTCTCAACGGTGATTGGAAGTGCGTGAACTGTATTAAGTGGGAATGACGCTTTAGGGAAAGAAGATGCATTTACCTCTGATTATTGAATGAAAAATTTTTAACCAACATTTCACTAACAAAACTTCCTTTTTTTTTCAAACACAATGCGAAATTGAGAAAAGATTTAATGTTTAAATCAAAATTGATGGGGTAAGTTTAAGATTTTATTAGTTTTTAATTTCGTCGAATTTTTCTAAATTTATTCGAAATGAATTTTATAACAAGAATAAAATAACGAGGGATTGATTAATTAATGGTTTTTAATCAACTATTGAAATTTAATAGTTTCCTTTTGTGCATTTAATTATATTTTAATCACGTTAAATTTAAAATTTTATTTGAAGAGAATCTCACGGAGGAAGGCGCTCTTTCTTAATAGATGAAACATGTTTCGAAATTTTTAACGAAAACTACTTAGATTTAATATTTTCTATTTTGCATTGAATAAATATTTTTAGTTTCATCAAGTTTCCATTCTCATTTATTCCTTTTTCAATTAGTGTTGCTTCTGAGTAACAAATTTGCAGTTGGCGAGCAGCTGTCAGGGTTGAACTGCCTTTCTAATTGCGTTTTTTTAGCTTATTGGCCAATAAATAAATAAATAAATATAAGAAAAATTTCTTATTTTAAAGAAGCAGTTTAAATGTCTGGACATAAATGAACAGTAAGTCTAATTTTCAATTTTTTCTCTTTATTATTTATTTGTTATTTACAGGGAAGATAAATAATGAAACCCATTCCACGCCGAAGAAATTCTTTTTTTAATAATGAAATTAGGAATAATGTTAACAAAGCTAATAAAGGGAAAACATGTGAAAGAAAAATAAAACAATAAAAGTATTTGAAAAATTCTCTGCTTTTGAAATTAGTCACCAAAAACAATTAATTGATATGAAAAGTGTCTTAAAACTAATTTTAAATAAATTATTGCTAAGATGTTTCAAAGATTTTATTATTTTACAACAAGATAAAGAAATGTAAACATCATTGATAAACTTAATATGCAACGTCAATTACAATGATTTTGTACATAGCTCATTTCACATATTTCACACATAACATTAAGCAATATATAGACGCATACAAAACAATATGATTAATAAAATTTTAAACTGCCAAACTGCGTTTGAAACTTTTAGTCATAAAAGGTTTAAAACCTATGATTAATTGATATTATGTTAGCTTCTTTATTAGGTATCACTTATTATTAACACGCATTTGTTGATATCATGTTAGCTCCCCTATTAAGTATAAATTAATATTTACAAATATTAATCAATGTTATGATGGCTTCTTTATTTTCCTGTTGTTGAAAGTAATGTCCTACTAAAAGAGGGTTGGTTTTTTCAGTTTTGTAGATGTAAAGGTCCTAAACGGTCTTTTAAAAGGTCAGCCTGGCTTCTCATACATTTTGTAAGTTTGTTCAAGCAAATTAATGGGAACCAACATGAGCAATTACTTCCCTTTTATTATTGATTGGTGCCGTTCCATTGAGTTTACTGAAGATTCATAAAAATGCGCGGTGCAGTAGTAATGTGGTCATTTATGTATTTATTGTATTAGCTTCCTCCAAATTTGGGATGTTACATTGTTACCATGAAATTAATGACAAAATAAAACTAAACGAGTCTAAGTTTAAGGTCTTTTGTAGTTTTTTTCTTCTGAGGATACTGTCTACCTTTCTGCATATTTAGAAAATTTGTTTCAAGAAAATTGACGGGAATCAACATGAATAATTACTTTTTTCGTTAATTATTGCTTTTCTTGTTGTAGGCTCTTAAAACAGCTGGGTCCCGCAATGGACTGATCGTAAAGACACGGTTCCCAGTAGAATACTGAAGTCAAGCATCACTGGTTGCTGTCAGGAAGCTGGTGGGTGACCACTTTGATCAGCTTACGTAGGGACCTAGCGTGCACGGTATTGGTTCTCGTTAAACTGTTCTTCCGTAAAGTGCTCGACTTCGCGTACAGGTCGTCGGGCTACCATCCCCTCAGAGGATCAAAATTGTGATGGCATGTCTTTGGATCATCCGGGGATGTTTCCCAAATGGTCGCCAATAGCCCACTGTGCTGCTCTAGAGCGACGTAAACAAAAGACCTACCTACCTAACAGTTGGCTTTCTCTTAAAACACATAGCGAAATAGTAGAGACAAAATTAGTTTTTCGCAAATTCGCGTCGTCTTATTGTTAAAATAATAGTTATCCTCATCATTATTTTCTAATTTGATAACAATAGTAACAAAAAGTGAAGTGTTTTTAAAATCAATAAAATCTGACGCCATAATAAAATCAAGCTCTCTACACATCTGAATACATAAGTAGAACATAAAGATTTGGTCCACAAAATTTGCTTTTTGAGAATAGATGCTGAGGTCTATTCTCTGAACAGGTGATTAAAAATTGTTGCGAAAAGTTGTGTCAAAATTGCACTGTGGTACACAAATAATATATTGAGAAATTTAGTTATCTGGCGAAATTTCGACGCAATTTCGAATTGAAGTTTTATTTTATACGCTTAATAAGTTTTAATAGTCAGGAAAACATATTTACATTTGGTTTAAATATATAGAGCTAAGAAATAGGAACAATTTTCTACCTTTGAAGCTAATGGTGTGATTTTAAAACTTTTATAAATTTCAATTATTCAAAGATAATATTGTACATAATATTTTGTGTTTAGCATTTTTTTAAATAGTTTTTGATACAATGAAAATATTAATCAAGATACTTTAACTATATAAAATAAGCAAAATTTTGCTTGTTTGAATTAAATTGGTTCTAGTGATTCAGTTTGATAACAATTTAACCGATTTTCTTTTTTATTTTTTTTATTTCATTTCGAATTTTCCTGAAGAATAGATTTTCCTTTATTACGGTTTAATGTGTTAATTTCGAGAAAGAGTTGATGAAGTAATCCTATAAAAAGTCCTGGTAATGAGGATTTTCTTAAAAATATCAGGAAAAAGAGAAAAATGGGGAAAATTCGGAAGTATGTACCCACAATAAATTCTATTGATTCTATCACGCCTATATGAATAAAAACTACATGAATGTTAAAGTGTAAGCTTATTTACATATGTTAATGAAAGAAAGTGAATATTTAATGTAGTGTCACATACATATAAACACCTACTGGTTTAGATACAAAACCCTGTATGTAGTGTATTGACATATCACAAACAATATTGTCATAAAACACTTAAACAGACATTTTTTGCAGCTGTATGGATGATTTTCGTATTCTATACACTCAGTTTAAGAATTTTTTTCCTCAAAGAATTCCACGAAACGTAAATATATTACAGAGCTAAAAAATTTTTTTTCAATCAAGTTATGAATTTGAAAAGATAGTCAGTATAAATTTCTGTGCTATTATTTTACTCTAAAATAAGTGTTTATATCACTGTAATGAAATTAATTTTTGTGAAAAGCAATGAAGTGTCGAAATTTTAAAATAAAGTAAGTTAGTAAAATTTTTACGATGAAACAAAGGAAATTTTGCAATTGAGCTGATAGATTTGATAAATTTTCACGCAATTATTGTTATTATTATTTTTTTACAGTTTCATATCTGCATATATCAGAGAAGTTAAAATAATAATCATAAAGTTTGTTTTTTTTTCTTTCAAAATATTATTTTCTCAGATAGACACCTATGCAATAGCTAGGCACAAAAAGAAATGAAGATGTTGCGTAAGTTATATTGTAATTAAAATTGCGAAGAAAAAGGAACGAAACTCGAGAATACTGTTTTAAATATAATGCAAAACAAGATTATGATTATGACTATTTAAAATCAATGATTATTTAAATGATTACTAAAACGTTGCGATTTTTTATTTAAAATTATTTCCAAATAAATTAAAAAATTTTCATTAGAACTTCCTTTTTTTCTTCTTTAAAACGTTCTAAAAACAATTTTGTTGATTTAAATTTCAGATTATAATCATAATGACGAATAAAAACTTGTTAAAGGTTAAGACAATTTTATTTAGTAGTTACGTTGTAATGAAGGCCCTAAACATCTCTGTTTGCGTGTGTGTGTTTAAATCAACATGTAGATCGGAATAGTTTTGCATCATTGTGCTGATAAACATTTGGACCCTAAAACCAATAAAACTGAATAAGTCGTTTTAAATTTCTAAAAATGTATTCTTCCGAATTTATTTGAATCTGGTAAAATGAAATGAAGGAAACTGTTCTTATTAAGAAATGGTGCCAGGAGTTTTCAGACTGACGCCATTTTCAAACAAGAATGACACCAGTCAGTTTTTCTTTTAACTTCTATAAAAACCAATAAAAAGTATTTTTAATAGAGGTACAATCAAAACAATAAGCACTTCTTGTCAGTTTTCCTGAAAAAAGTGTTAAGTTTAACGAGACAAACGAATAATTTTCTTCTATTATAGAACAACCATCTCTCGACAGGAGGATATGTCCCATGATATCCCGCTGGCACCATCTCTGTTCTATCTTAATAACAAATTCACTTTATTGTACCTGTTGATAAGCATGAGAACAATGAAATACATATGCAAATATCACACGCAATATGCATAACTATTAAAATAATGGAATGCCAGTTTTATGCAATGTAAAGTTCAAAACTGCTTGTATTAGTTCTAAATGCAATATCTTTGGCTGAAAATTAAGAATAAAGTGGATAGCCCGCATCTTCTGTTGTCTGCTGAATCCAATCGAAATATAAAGACACATTTGTGTAGATGCCTGGCAAATTGGGTTGAGCACACTTAATACCCCAGCTAACTACTCCAGCAACAAACCAGTGGTCATCTGACTTACAGACGAGAGGTCCTCCACTATCGCCCTGAAATATGAAATATGTAAGTTATACTTCAATATCAAGATCCGACAGAAAAAGCTCAGTTTCAAAACGTACCAACTTTAACTGGTGTAATTTGAGATATTAGGGAATTATTATACAAAATTGTAATGGCAGTAGAAGGTATATTAACATGAATTTTCTTTTTTAAAAATTGAACTATTATGTGTAGGAAAATTAAAAATGGAATATATACGTAAGTCTCCCTACGTAATACCATAGAAAAAGTATATTCGTAAAAAATTGAAATTATTTTTATTTACGAAGTAAAAAAGAAAAAAGAGTATAAAAAGTGAAAAATATTTTTCTTTTTTCTTATTTTTTTCTAATTGGATACCTGCAAATCGAGAAGAAGAAGACCACTGAAATTAGCTGGTTGTGTATAAGCAAAATGACATGACAACGTTACAGCTATTGGGTTGGTTTATTACCACGTTGAATAAAGTTTTTGATCAGATTTAAATGAATACCAGCAAGCGATGTTATGCCTGTGTGTCGAACTTGGGTTGGCTACTGAATCGTGACATAAACAAATACTACAATTCAGCAGCCAATCAGGTTCGTCGTTCACGTGTGACGTCACTTGCAGATACCCAATTAATTTTAAGTTTTTCTTCGATTGTGAATTTAAAAAGTTCAGTCTCATAATATGAAAAGTTTTAAAATCAACAATAATTTTAACTCATTAATGAATCTCATGATCAGCAGGTTACTAGTAAGAGTTCTGTGAAGATTGACAAATGTAAAATTGAAAGGAGTCTTTATCTAAAAATGAAAGTCTGAATAGATGAATGCACCAAAAACTCAAGAGTGGGAGCACCGATTTGAATCGTGTTAAGGTAAGGTTGAAAGACAAGGAATTTAGTTTAAATGAAATCTAATTAAGAAGCGAGAAGATGTTTAAAAACAAAACATTTTAATAAACAATAATAATCAGTTACAAATATTTTAAAGCGAAACGTTCTATTTATGTATATATTCTGTTGCCACCTTTTTTATATAAATGTTATACTCTTCTGCACTGTGGTAAAATTTTACATTTATTTTAAATCTGACATTTGAAATTTTTCAAGGAAAGGTTGGTAAACAATCGCTACTTTCCGGTATCGTAATGTATTGTTGAAACCCATTGTTATAAATTGAACTTTGAGAGTTTGAACCATTGTTAGAAATTGTTCACTTTAATAATAAAGTAAATAAATATAAAGATTTATTTTAATATTTTAACGTAAAAACGTATTCGTTCCGTTATGCTATGTTTTACTTCTTCAACAGTGCCATTAAGATAAATTATTTATTTATTCATTTTATTTAAAATTTTGTTCCGAAATGTATTATTACTGTCTTTAAACGCAGACTAAACATTTTAATCTTTTCTTCCATCTCTTACATTTTTTTTAAAATTACGCGCGTAATCATTATTGTTGCAATCGCAAATGTTATTGAAATACATAACGTCTGGCAATCACGGGATATTTTCATCAGTGAGGTTGTTTTAATTTAGGTGACGCGTTAATCTCGTAATAGCCAAATAGTAGTTAAAGTTTAAAAATAAAATTCGAAATATGATCTAAAACTCACTGCTTCGTTTTTTAACTGCAAGTGTACATTCACGTGACAAGAAGATGGGAGAATGGTATAGTGTGACACTTTGATACAAACGGGAGGAGAGAGTTCCAAATATCCCCCTCCCCAAGCGAAAGGAAGAAAATAAACTAAATAAATAAATAAAGAAAAAAATAAAATAAGAAATGGGATATTTATGAACAGCCATTTACAACTAAAAGTGAGTAAGAAGAGAAAAGTGAGATCAGCTATATCTATGGCTGAGCTGAGAGATGTTACTTTCATATACAGGGTTATTCATAATTCCCTCCGGGGTTTCGAAGCGTTATAGTAAAAAAAAACGAAGACGAATATGGCAAAAAAGAACATATGAAATTATTCCGAAAGTATTCAAGTTTTAATTTAAGCAGTTGCCGGTAGATGGCAGTAACATGTACCACTGAAGCCCCTTTCAGATATCATACGCTTCGAAACCCCGGAAGGAATTATGAATAACCCTGTACTTACCTGACAAGCATCTTTTTGTCCTTCTGCGAAACCCGCACACAACATAGTGTCAGAAATAACCACTTCCTGTGCTGAGTACCATTCCTGGCAAGTGTTAAAATCAACAACTGGGACTTCAACTTGGTGAATAACTTTTTGGTATTCTGCTTCTGAAAGAAATTCACAGAAATCCTTCTAACTGAGATTTCACTTAAAACGCTTATTTATGCATTTTACCATCAGAGCAACCAGGCGGGTTTAAAGTTGAAAGTAATTAATTTCCATGCGATTTTCAGTATGACAATTTTATTACAATAATTTTTAACTAAGAAACTATTATTGAATACTAGAATAATAATATGCATACATTAATAATCGTTGAACAACATCAGTTTTAAAATTTCGAAATATTTATTTAATACGAGGCAACTTATAAAGTTTAAAATGGGGGAAATAAAACATTTTTATCGAATGATATTGACAGTATGGCCGACCAGGTGGCCGAGTGGTTAGTGTGCCTGACTGCGGAGTCGATGGTTGCGGGTTCGAATCCCGCTCAGGGCATGGATGTTTCTTTCTCTCTGTGTTCTATGTCCTTTTTCTTTTGTGTGATTGTGTGAATGTGATCCGCCCTATAAGCGGGTTTGTGGTTGTGTGACGTGGGCGACGCTGCTCCACCGCCATGACTTCGCCACAGGTGCCCACTGGGTAACGAGAATAGAGTAGCAGTTCTGGTACTCCTGGCCAACGGGACAATACATCCCAAGTGCCCTCCATTAAAAGAAAATATTGACAGTATGCTATGGCATTTCTCGGACCTAAATCGCCTGTGTTGCGCACTACATCACAGAAATCCTTCTAATCCTAAGTTGCCTATGGCAGACGCGTTTCTCAAAGAACACACCATTTCCAAACAGTTCAAGAGCTGAAACCCGCTTTGAAAGAGGAGAGGGACCATATCCCACTAGGACTCCTCGATAGTTTAGTGGACAGCATAAATAACAGATGCAACAAAGTGTTCGAGGTAATTACACATCTTACTGAGGTACCCATTTCTGTTTTATTCCATCGAGAAGACCAATTTTTCATGGCTATTTGGAAATCGTCCACTGCTCATCTCTTTTATTTTCAATTTTATTATTTTTTGATATGTCGGTATCCGAACTATTTCGCATGATAATAAATGCACATTGTCTCAACTAAATATGTACTTAGTTTCATTTCATCATTCAACGCCTATTATTTAGTTATGCCAAAAAATGTAACTGTTCCTTAACAATTATCAAGACAATTAACAATATCAATTATCCTTAACAATAACAATTATCAGTAATTTATATTGTGACTGAGAACTCTTTATATAGATTTCCAAAATTAAAAATATAAAAAAAAGATTACTTTACGATGAAACTTTTAAAAATATTTTTCCAAAAGGCACAGACTTTATTTTAAGTTAAAGTGTGTCATACCGTCATCATGCTGTTGTTTTCCCCAGCCAATGACGGTGCAAGACTTCAGTCCAGAGTCCCAGCTGTTGAGAGGCGGCAAGCAGATCGGTCTCAGGAAGGAATCGAAGGCAACAGGTTTGTCCAGACGAATCAGCACAATGTCATTGCTGTATTGACTGACAAAATTGAAAGCTTCGTGTGATAGGATCTGCGCCACTCCTCTGCGTTGAGTGAAAGATGGATGTGACGGTCTGCGCGTCATACCCAGTTTCAAACTCCAACCTGTAGGATCACTTTGGCTGAAATGATATTTGAATTAAAATATAATATGCACTGTATTTGTTTAACGTAAAAAACTGAAAAAATTATGTTAGTTTATGGCAAGATATAAGATTGCCCAAATGAAAAGAGACCACCTTGTCATATCATCAGAAATACAGTCGCAACAATATCCAGCTTTAGGTAATATATCATATATTACCAATAAACTAATTCATCTGTGAGCATTTAAAGTAAATGTAAAGTCTAGCAAGAAAGAATGCGCCCAGAATAAACCAAGACGAATTAATATATTTTTTAGTGACAATATGTGATTACACCATTAGTTTACTGATGTTTTTGAAAGTGTTGCTTAGATTCACGAGTCGTAACTCTTCGATTACCTCTAATCGTTTCATCAATAAGTTGCAATGTATTCAAGGAAGACGGATTCTTAGCTCATTCGATACGAAGCCTGCCTTTCATAAAATATGTTTAAAAACGATTTATTCCTGGTCTGCTTATTACAGAGAATGTTTAATATAAAAACAAACCGTAGGTGATAAATATCCGCATTGCGATCACCTTCCCGTAATCATGGAATTTTGCTTTGTACAATTCGAAAATTGTACGATTGTGTATTGTTTTGTTCGAGGTGCATCGAAGTTAGTATAAGTCCTTTCATTCACTTTAAATTTCCTTATATGAAATGTTTATGTATTGTGTATAACGAATAAGTTAAAAAAAATATGTAGTATAATTTATTACCTAAGTTCAAAATCCTGAAATGTGGCGCTGATATCGGTACAGTATTTCTGACTTTATCACGCATGTTCACTTTTCATTTGGGCAACCCTTCTACAATAATAAAATGAAGAGTTTTTATGTGCGTATCTCTTATAATTCCAGAACCATTTCTACTAACGTCCTGAAATTTGGATAGTAAATGAAAGGGGTAAATTTTTCCCTCTATCCTAAAAATCGTTCACATATTTCTATTGAATCTTTCAGGAGAGACCTTTGGAGGTTAGAATTTTTTCATTGGTTTTAATCTTGCCATTCATAAAACTGAAACTGGAGATAATTCTGTTTCTTCAAAGGCTTTAAATAGTTACATCAGTGATGTGTGCTAGCTTATAGTTAACATTAAAAAACGAGTTTGTTACTCATTCTTAGATGTTTAATTAATTAATAGATTAATTAATTAGATAATTAATTAGATAATTAATTAATTAGATATTAATTAATTAGATGTTTAATTAATTAATAATAGTATTAATTCGTTTAGGTGAAACGTGAAAAATCACTATACTTCTAATAGATGCCATTGCTGCTTAATTAATTATGGCAATAGGTACTAATTGAAACAAATTAATGAAGTATTGGTACTAATTCGTTAAGGAAAAAAAAAACAAGAAACATCGCCATAGTTTTATTGATGCTAATGTTGCTTAATCAAGTTTGGTAATAAGCATTTTTGGTATTATGGTAATTGGTGCTGTTTCAGTATGCACCAAATATTCTAATACAAACCCAATTACTATGTTTAGTACTTGTTGAAACTACATTGAAACAATGTAGTCTTAATAAAGATATTGTGAAAGGTTTTTTTAAGGGCTCTCGAAACGGATAGTATCAGATAAAAATCGCTTGTTTGTGGTGAATTATGACTACCAGAAGTGTGCCTCAAGCAACAACAAATTGCCAAATCATACTGAATACATTAATCTTTATTATAATGGAATAAAACACTAGAAACATGCTTTGATTTAATGTGAAAAAATAATAAATAAATTACAAAAAAAAAAAAAAACACTAACCCGGAATTATTTAACTTTTATAGATTAAGTTGGTATATGTCTTTTAGTTTCATGCATGATTTTGTAGTGTGCGTCCGTACTGATTTATTGACAGTTTACTTATTTATCCAGTACGGCGAATGGCTATTCTGTTAGTATGTTATAAAATGAATCTGATCAAGCACCTGGCTCATTTTATAAAATTGAAAATAAATAATCGACTAGATAGTTTTTCTTTTAAAATAATCATAAACTAGTAAAAAGATAAGGAAAGACTTGTTTGAAATTTTCTAATCGAGAATTTAAATATTTTTGAAAGATAAATATTCCACACCCACATATTTAGTTTCGATTTCATCCCCGTGTTTTAAATTTTACTTACTTTCCAACACAATGAGCAGCTGATAAAACCCACCACTCGGAAATCAAAACACCTCCACAAAAGAAAACTTCATCTGGACCTCCATGCAAAGCCACAAGCCACGGCCAAGCACCAGGTTCGGATTCTTTACCGCCAACAATGCGCCATGTTGCTTTATTTCCTCCAACAGAAATAGCTGTTTTGCCACATTCTGAGAAAAGAAATAACAACAATTGTTATGTTGATAGTCGTGGTTTGCTTTGAATATACATTGCAATTAGTTGCTTATTTTGGACTATGAACAAAACTGATAATAGGAGTTCTTCATTTTTGAACGAAAATTGTTTTGGTGTAGTAGAAAAATGGTTATCGAATTCATTGATTTGAATTAACACTTAATTTCATTAGAAACGTAAGCCAAATTCTGTTTATTTTGACACGAGACGGCTAATTATTTCATGGTAGGTGAAACACATGTCAAAAGTTTCTTTATGCAGGTAATTTCGTAATCAATGCCCTTCATCTACTTATAGAATCGATTGTCAAAAATGTACAAACATTGGGCGTTGTACTAAAAATACTTTATTTACGTAAGAATAGAGCTGATAATTATTTGTTTGAGATGGTCTGGAAACCTTGAGGGCGATCCGAAGACTGTATCGGAATCTCTGCAGATGATCATAATTTTGATCCTCTGCAGATGAACAAAATTTTGATCCTCTGCAGATGAACACAATTTTGATCCACTGCAGAAGAGCAGAATTTTGATCTTCTGCAAATGATCGCAATTTTGATCCTCTGCAGATGAGCACAATTTTGATCCTGTGCAGAGGTCCTAATTTTGCCGGACGAACTGCAAGCAAAGTCGAGCACTTTATGGTAGAACAGTTTAACGAGGACCGATCCCTCGCATCCTTGGTCCCTTTGCAGGTTGATCAAAGTGATCACCCATCCATTCACTGAACGCAGCCAGCTTTCTCGACTTCGGTGATCCTGGGAGCCTTATCTTAGGATTAGTCTACTCGGGGTTGTAAATTATTATTTAAGTGAGTAAAAAACAAAAATGCTATCGAAATCTCACAAATCATTATTGAAGAAGGTGGCTGAATGAAACATCAAAGCCTGATTGATTTCCCGTGGAAATAGAGGAGAGATAAAAGACGAGAAGTAGAAACACCTTTAAATATCAGCCAACGAATTTCGATGTTCTCAACATTAGCTTATTTCAACATTGATTTGTCAGATTATGAAAACTTATTGCTTTTTTATTGATCTATCTTTTTTTTATGAACCTAATATGTGTGCATTTTCATTTTAATTCCTAACTAATACACTAAATATATATATGTTAAAGGTGTTGATTATAGATAATCCTGTATGTATAAAACAGTATCTTTGTTAGTTTGAAAAAGGACATAACATGTTTTCGAACCCATCTATTCAATTATAAGCTTATCGTTCTTTATGACGTTTAAACACACATTAATAATTTTTTAAATGAAATATTCTTGGATTGAAGTAGCATTTTTATCTAAATTTTAATTTATATATAACATCTGTTTTCAAATATTATGGGGTAACTATTAATTTAATAAATTTTAATTTAGTAAAAAAGAAAAATTAAATGTTATTTCCTATGATAGCAGAGTCATATATAGATTCATCATATAGATTCATCATATAGACATCATTCATAGTTAGATTTCCTTATAAATATTAAAGCACAGTTAGTTGAGAAAACTTTTATCGGTATTGTTTATTTTCTGAATTTACAAAAAAGTTTTATTGATGTTTTCTTGGACTAAAGGCCTCGGGTAAAAGGAGCTCTTTGTTTTCTTGCTTACATTTTGAAATCTTTGAAGGCTAAAATTTCATCTTTCTACATTTACATTTACTTTCTGCTTACATTTTGGAATTATGACTCTAAAATTTCGCTGCTTGCATTTATTTTGTACTCTTGTTTTCAATAACTTTTTTTTCTTCTTCTTCTTAAGATTTTACTTTCAAGTTTTTATTTCTTAGCTGACATTCTTTCTCAATAAAGATACTTTTGAAACTAGATTTATTTTGTTGACATCTTGGGTTAAAATTTGTTTTCATTTGTTTACATAGGGGACCAGGATAGCCTGGTTGGTAGGACGTTGGACTCATATTCGGGAGAGCTGGAGTTCGAATCCCATCGGCCCAAGAATCCCCGTGTGACTAGTCCACGTTAATCTGTGGAGTAACTAAATGGTGACTAGTGTACGTTAAATCTGTGGAGCTCACAAAGTCCTCTTAGTTCCTATAACTAATCAACACCTCTGGGGGTACTGAATTGAAGATTGATCGTTCTCTAGTTCAGGTCGAAGTTACGATCTATGTATAAAGGAATGGAGTATGGTTTAGTCCTCCATGTAAAACGGGTTGTGCAGTATGTGTGGTTGAAGTCGTATTCTTGGAAATCGCTGGCACCACTGAAAAGACAAGAAACTCACCATCTGACTTAAAAATGTTCCTATTTTCAAGCAGGCTTGCTGATTGGCAAGTGGCATAAGTAACAACAGCATTGATTTTAACTAACTTGAACCGATAAAAAAAAGTATGGTCAAAACTACGAGAATATGGTATAATTTACGGTGTTTTTGACTCTATGTTAGCACCAAAATGCTCGGTAATTCTTACCAAAGTTTTTTGATCATGATTTCGATAAAATTATCAGTAATATATGGTTTCATAATATGTGATAACATTTGAGAAATGTGGTAATTTTTTCATGACAAATTAGTGCATGATTAAAAATCATTTATTCAGTTTAATTTACTTTTGCTGGTTAGTTCCATCGAAAAAATCCTCCACGAAGTCAAATTTCTTCCAATAATTGATACAGGAGTTCTCTTGTTTTCTGGATTGGGTTCAAAATTACAAGGCTACGTAGTTGAACATTAATAGTCATAAACTCAAAATTGAGCCTTCTGTTCAACGACGGTTATAATATGTAAAATAGCAATTTAAAGTTCAATTTCATTCATTTTTAAAGAAAAATTATTTATTAGTAATTAGAACCTTAGATTGTTTCAGACGCGTAGTTGTCCAGAAAGTTCGCTTGCTGTAGTCTCGTCATTTTGACATTAAACAAAGCAGAACTTTAAGATAGAATTACTATATGAAATGAAAATGCATTTTTATAAAATTAAACTCTCACCAAATTCTTGACACTTGAGATATACGTAGACATTGTCTTCTCCGCAACCTTTGCTTCAAAATACAAAAGGAAATCAATAAATTAGCAGCGAGGAATACAAACGAGACATTTTAATTTACACGAAAAACATTAATTAAAAAAGTATAGTTCCAGAAATTACTTGATTAAAATACTTAATTCGCTTTTAAATTATACAGATTGGAAGTAACAGTCGACATGCTTCAAGCACTCAAAAATATGCTCCCCTTTTCAAGACTTTCCAGACTTGAATGCGTAGAAACAAAAGTAATTTGAAATATAAAATGCTAAGTTGTCAGAAAAGAATGTGAAATAAAGGTGAGGAAAAAAACTAGAAAAACGTCAGAAACCGAGAGAGAATAAAAATAAGGTTGAAAAATAGAATAAGAAAAACTACTGTGGCTGAAAGGAGCTCTGCTTGCTTATTTTATTGGCCTGTTTTTTTTTCATCTTTATTTTATTCTCTCTCGGCTATTGAGGCTTTTCTGGTTTTGTTTCTCATTCTTATTTTCCATTTTTCGTTGGCAACTTTGCGCTTTATATTTTAAATCACTTCTCATTCCTTTCTGAGTCCTTAAGTCTAGAAAATGGGCGCCAATTTTTGAATGATTGAAACAAGTCGACTGCTTTTTTTTCTGAAACGAATGAAGTTTTTTAATCAAATAATATCGTATCGCTTCTGTTTCTTGGAATTATTTACTTAGCTCTAGAAATACATCGTTTTGGGCAAGTTTTTAATTGTCACGCACATAATTTCTAACTTTTGCACTATAGATTTTAAAGACAAGCGAGATGAAAATTATAAATTGTACTTAATACATACATATATGTTTGAAAAAATTAGTAAAATATAAAAGTAATATTCACATTAAAGATTCAAAATTAGTACAATTAGATGGGTATGAAATGTGTTTAAATGTATAATTTTGATTGACACCGATTCGCCATGTTCGGATATTGTCTTTTGCTCCTCTCAAATAATAATGTGGGAAATTTTACATGCTTACTTCTTAAATGGGTTCTTATTAATTATATTAAGGGTGGTGATTTCGGAACTAAAAAAAAATATTGGACACGAAATAAAAATCTAAATATTTATATACCGGAATTAAAAAAAATTACAGAACAATTAAAATTATTTTTATGTTATTTCTAGTAAAGTTGTTTTAATAGTTATTTAAAAGGTAATGATATCTAATTTTCTTGTAGAAAGATATTAATTATTTTCCTCTGTAGGCTTTAATGCAAAAAACTTTCGACTTTTTTGTTTTGATTGATTAAAATTGAAAAAAAATGTCCCATCCCACATCTATGTGAATTTTATTAAGTAAAAGTATCAAAACAAACATTGTTTTGCTCTACTTTTTTTTGTACAAAGATCATAAAATGTCTCAAGTTTGTATTATTTAGATTTTCATGTTTAGCTTGATATTAAAATGACTTTTATTTGTAAATTATTTTGAAAAAAAAAACGCTTTAATTTGCTGCCACTTTTTTGCTTTTAATCAATTATTTTTTTACGTAATGTTCAGGGATATAACTCTCAATTTTCACGAATCTGCATTCTTTGAGTTGTGTTTCGTTATTTTGATAATTCGTTACGAAATGATGTGATTTTTTCGGTCGAAACATGAACCCTTATACATTTGACGAAACTTCTTTCAAACTCTTGCGTCCTCAGTGGATTCTGGAAGTTCTCAAACAATTTATCTGATTTTAAAACTATTAACACTTTATGACGGAATGATAAAGGGTTATCTTATCATTCAAAAAAGGATTGGAACTTGGAAAACCAAGCCGTCTTAGCTTGGTTTTCCAGGTTCCAATCCTTTTTTGAGGATTAAGTGACTTTTTCGCTCATACTCTTTTTTATTTTTTGTTGCATTTCTAATAAATGGAGTTGCTCGATGCATAGTTTAGCTCTTTTGGCGAGTTTTGTATCTCAAACGAATGGAAAGTAGTAATTTCTTCAAATTTACGAAATGCTCGCTCGGAGCATTTCCAAGGACACGGTTTCGTCAAAGCGAAATAAATTTCGTAAAATTTCAATATTTTTTACAGTGTTTTTTTAAAATATTTTCAATTTCTTGTACTCTATTTGTATAAAGCAATTAGTTAAAAAATATAGGTTTGTAAAAGAAAACTTACTGGCTTCTAGAAAACAATGATTTCATTTGTTTCTTTATATCAACTGCTGTTCCAGTTGCAACTCTGTTTTCTGCTGGTAAAACTTCATCTCTTAATCTTGTTTCCTTTACATTTCTGAGAATGAGGACACAGATAAGAATAATACAATATAAAAATACAATTATAGCTTTTACGAGTATAACGTTATTTTATGGTGAGTGGTCATATATTTTACAAGAAAGAAATTTGTGGGTAGACCTGTATTTTTATGGTATTGATAGCTTTACGGACATAAATTTATTTTAACTGTCAGTACTTGGAACACTTTTGCTGGTTACTGCCGTGATTTAGCGGCGAATATATTTTACAGAAAATAGTTATTTTGCTGTTTAGCTGTATACAATTTGGTCAAACTGACTTCGAAATTTGATTCAATTTAGTTTTAGAAGTTTCATTTATCAAATACAGGTTAAGTTTTTCGCTTGATTTAATATTGTCTGGTTTTAAGACTACATAAGATTTTTAACTTAATAACTATTCAGTAACAATAGGATTTTTAAGCTCTGTAGAAAAAGTTTTTTTTTATAAAAATTTCATAGAAAAAAATAAAATGTAAATGAATTTTTTGATGTAATATGAAAAATATCATACTTATATCCAAGCATCTGGCAAGCTCTTGGGCTCATAGAGTCGGTGTCCCATTGGTCACCACATACTGGTTGCCAGCTATCTGTGATGAGACTATATGCCTCAAGTCTACCTTCACCACTTTGGCCTTCTTTTCCATTTAGGCGTACTGAAATATACGGTATATTATGAATAAAGTTAATGAGCTTTTTGATATATAGGAAAAGAGTATTAGTGTGAAACCTCGATTCGTTTTGAATTTGTGTTAATATTTAAATTGCTGAAATCCCTCAACTTATTTTGCGAAAAATGTGGCTCCCTCTTGAGGTATATGATATGCGTAATATGGGACCTTAGAGCGATGCCTTTAGTATTATTATTATTATTACAATGATCAGAGTAAGTACCGAAATTCGGGCCGGGATAGCCTGGCTGGTAGGACACTGGGCCCATGTCCAAGAGTTCGCGGGTTCGATCCCAGATGGCCGAAAACTCCCCGTGTAGTAAATGGTGATTGATGCACGTTAAACCTGTCTAATCGCAAAGTCTTCCATGTGCCAGTAACAAATCAATATCTCTGGGGGTACTGATCCAGGAGTTTCCTTGTCTTCTGGATTGGTTCAAAATTACAAGGCTACGGAGTTGAGCATAAGCAGTTGTAAAACCCAAAATTGGGTCGGCTGCTCAACGACGGATATAAAATATAGATAAAAAAGTACTGATATATGGTTCTCAATCACGCAAGAAGTATATTATTTTTAGAATAAAGCTGAACAAAGTCACTGACAAGAGCAGCAAAGATATATGCCATTAATAGTCCCTTCTCATTTGGTATGGGCTCAAGATAAGTACATCAGGCACTGTACTCACAGCTACTTATTTTTTTTCTTCTGAGAATTTCGAATCATAGAATAAGCACGTTGCATCAAATTTGAGTCAATCTAACTAGGACAAAACATGAATACATTATTTGTCAGGCAAGGAAAATAGAACTGATGCACATCAGGACTGCTGATGATGAGGAAAATTTTTTGATTTATTTTATATTAATTGTTCCCGCTATACAATTACAGTTCAAAACGTTTCACTTATCACCAAGCAAGCTGCCAATTGGACCAGTTGTACAAGGCCAAAAGTCAAGTTCTATAACACCTATATCCATAAAGTTCCATGCTTCAAACATTGTTCTCTTGGACTTGGTGTGAGCTGAAACAAAATCAGAAAACAGAAGAAAGATTTTATCATTGAAAATTGTTTTAACATTTTTTCATAAATCTCCGTGTCTTACAACGACCAATTTTTTTTGTCGAAAATGTAACAAAAATACTAGTTGGAATTAACCTTCTCCAAATTGTGAAAACTTCACGATGAGACCGGTGAATTTCCCCCCTTGAAAGTAGGAATAGAACTGTACGACGGGATGAAGAAAATATCATGTTCTTCAACTACAGATTGAGGAAATTACTTGCTATCACTTTTCGTAAGTTTTCAACAAGTTTCACATTATTTACAGGGTTCCACCCCTCCACTTTTTCTTTTATTTATTAGAGATACTTCTAATACAGTGAAACCTGCCAAGTTGACCACCCTTGTAAGTTGGACACCTGCATAAGTTGACCTCAATTATCAAGAACGGAATTTTTCCTATATAATATACAGAAGCAAAACCTTTGTAACTTGACCACCTGTCTATCTTGTTTGTTGATCACTGAAATAAGTCAATTTTATCTAGAAGTATCATGAAATTCTATTCTAAAACCCTCATAAGTTGACTAGAAAAAAAAATTCAGAAAATTTTCTGTCATTCTGGCAATGTATGTTAAAATTTCACTTGTTTTTTTGTGTGAAATAGTGAAAAACGCTAATCTAAACCCTTTTGTGAGTTGACCATCAGGGGAAACTGTAAGGGGTCAGCTTTTGACCAGTTCTTTCATCCGTTCATTGAAAACAGGTGTGTTAGTTGAAAAGTTGCTCTTCCAATTGCAATAGTGAGCATTTGAATAAATGAATGCTCTGAAATATGCTTTGATTCTTTATTTGTGGTCTTTGATCTTTAAGTGTAGTAAATAAATTTTAAAGTGTTCAAATAATTTTATTTTGTTAAAGTTTTCAAATTACATGTTTTCGTGTTCTGATATTTTAAGGAATTATATTTATTAAACACTTCGCATGCATAACTAACGAAATAATTTTTAAAAAAAAATTAGTTAAATATTAGAATTATATGTATCAAATTGAAGTTCATTCAGGTTTAAACACATTTCCTACGATATTCATTTGCATATTTTCTGAATAAAATTTTTAAGTCAAGTAAAAAAAAAAAAATATATTTATAGCAACTTGATATAGGAAACGAATGACCCCCCCCAATGACCCACCCCCTCTATAAGTTGACCACTTGTCTAAGTTGACCACTAAAACAATGCACCACAAGTGGTCAACTTACACAAGTTTTACTGTACATAGTTTTGGCTTTTATAAATGTCTGTGACTGTAGTATTAGAATATATGCAAGATGTCAGTAAATTCCTGCATTTTGGTTAAATAGGAGGGAACGCGTCTCCCAATGTGAAGCCTGCTCAGATATGATCAAAATTATCCTGCAAAATATAGAGCCTCGAAGAAAAGTTTTTTTTAGCTGGGCCTTCATCGATGTGAGTGTGGAGCTATGACGCTTGAAATTGGAATAAAAAGAATAGTTAAAGGAAGTAAATTTTAATTTAAAACAGCTTTACAATGCTAATTATTTTCATCACTTAGGGTATTACTTTTGAGCTTCGATATTGAATGTAATTTCGTTAGCAAATTGGTATTTATTTAAAATTCATGCAACTAAACGGATAATTAGAAATAAACATACGGCATCTCCTTTCTTCACGACCATCTGGACAATCTCTGATTCCGTCACAAACTAGACCTTTATCTATGCAACTACCATGTCCACAGTAGAATTGATCAGGTCCACAATTACCTGGAATTGATACGCCTATATAGGTAAAATATAAAATGAATAAAAAATATTTTTACTCTATTAACCCCTTCTCGGTCGGATTTTTTTTCGAATTTACGACCCCCAAATTTCGTTTATTGCTGAAAATTAATATATATTGCATCCTAAATTCAAAAATGCAAAATATGCTTGTCAGCAAGCAGTTGTTTGCTTGACCTATTGGTGGTGAAATATGTGATGCCCCGTCAGCTGATCTCTAGTTTTCTTTGCAATGCACCCAAGTTTTATCTTAAGAAAAAACACTGTGATAACATAAGTCTATTGCTTTTAGGTGTTTAAGATAAATATTAATTACTAAATATGGGTAAGAAATATTTTGGAAAATATTTTTTCAACCTTATCGTTAAAACAGTTTTACAATTAGACTTGGGCATCAGAGCGTAAAAATCCCGTTTATTACAAAACTGAAATATTTTATGACAGATTATTGCAGCGGCAACACTCATGACATAATCCTCTGTCTTCCTCTTCTTGACTTTTTATTCACTTTACTTAAATGGCAATGGTTTTTAGTTGGAAAACGGAATCAAATGCTACTCACAAGATAGTCTGTTTAATTGGTTTTGGAAAAATAGTTAAACGGAAGATTTGTAGTTAGGTTTCAATAAATTGTTGCCAAATAATTGGTTAGATTTGCATATAGATAAATAAAAAAGATATGGAAATATTATCTGATAACCGCATACGCTCAACAGGTCTGGTTTATGACACTAGGAACAATAATTTCTGAAGAATCCTCAAAAATTCGTAAAAAGTCATTAGAGTTATTGCTTTTTCCCAGCTGATATTCTTTTTTAAATTAAAAAAAACTCTCTGCTACAAATAGCGGTTTTTTCTTATGTTAAGACTGTACTCTTAAGTAGGTTAATTTAAATGAGCAAGAGGCCTGAACAATTTGGTGGGCCTAGCGCCCATACTTGTTTCGAGCAGTCCCTGTATGCAAACATTTGCTGGATCAAAATTTGATAATTTTAATAAACTAAAATAATTCTTCTTGTTTTTAAATTTTCTCAAACAAGTATTTATAAATAAAGATCCAGCTAATGATTATAATTAAATCAGATTACTAATAGCAGTAAACTAGGACTTTAACCTAGTTCAACTTTAACCTAGTTCTAACTTTATGTCTAGTTAAAAAATTATTACTTTTTTAAAAAATGCTAGTTGTAAATGGTTAAAAAACCATATAGTTTTGTATTCATGGTTTTATAACGATATTTTTGTAAATGGTTATAACACCATAAAAGGAAAAATTTTTTCTTTTCCGTAAACTTTATAGTTAATCGGATGGACAGACAGCTGCCAGTTATATTACCGTAATTTTAGAAGGAAAATTTTAACAGTGTAATACAATACAATAATACACTTACTTAGTAAATTAAAAGCAATACTTAGTGAATCCAATGCAATACGTAGTAAAAAAAAGCATTGATATTTTTTCCCCTCAAAGAAACTGAACTGTTGTGGTCTGAGTATTTAGAAAATAGTTGTATTGTGTAGATTTTAAAACATGAAATTAAGTTTTCGTGGTCAACCAGCGCAAAGAGATTATGTAAAAAAGGAAGAGAAAAAGAGACCAACTGCAATTCTTTTCGTCAGCTTCATCTGTACAATCTGAGAATCCGTCACAAACCCAAGACTGAGGAAGACATCTAGTTTTGTCGCATCGGAATCCATTGTAGCAAGCTGTAAAAGTGGTTGAAAAATTCCTTTCATTTTTGAAATGTAAGCAATGATAAATAAATATCCTAAGAAACTGAAGTGGTAAGATATTACTTGATTAAAAATAAGCTCATCTAGATAATGGGCGCCTGTTTTTGAATGCTCGAAACATGTCTACTTTTATTTGTATACTTTTGAAGAAAATGAAGTTTTCAATCAAGTAATAGCAATGGTAGCTCAATTGTTTTTTAAATCATAAGAGTAATTTTAAATATACTTTAAAAATACTGTGGAATAAAAACTATTACAAATTGTTGCAAATCTCGAGGTAGTTAAACTTTAAAATTTTAGATTTGTTAATTAATTAAAAAAAACAAATTTTAGCCATTGTTTCATACTTAAGAACAATTTAATCACAAGCAACCCAGATTTAATCAGAATTGTTGCAAGAAATTGCGCATTAATAATTTAATAATTTAACTTGGGTAACTGATTAAACTAGTTTAAACTTTATTACCGTCCTATTGATGTGTTTCATTTATATCTATCTAAACACATGAGTAAATGGCACTAATTATTTTATGTGCATTTTTTTACTTGAAGGTTTGGCACTCCCATTATAGTATATAGTTCATTTCGATTATTAAGGAATTAACTAGAAATAATTTTTATAATGAAGCAATATATCAAAATAAAATTAAATTGAGAAACACTAGTAAGAAAAAAGTAATATGTATACAGATGTTTGAAAAAATTTAGAAAACTAACAGCATCTTCAGTGCTGAAAAGGTTAAACTCTTAAAGTGTCTGACTGGGGCAAAAAAACATGATTTTTGACCAAATTTTCAAAATTGAGTTTGTTATAAATTTAGAACTCCTGTAGTAGCTTTCTAAAAATACTTTGCCTTTGTATGTACTCCAATTATTTACAAAGTTATAGCAGTTTTTGTGTAAAGCGATAACAGTGGATAGATAATGATTTTAAATCTTTAAATGCGTTTATCTCAAAATAAATCTCCCCCCTCCACATTTTTCACCATCTTAAATTCGATATCTCATATTCTTTTTAAAATACTAGTCTACAATTTTTCATGAGTGTTTATGATTATAGCTCACATTTTTGAGTTACAAACTAAGAGAAAAAAGTGGAATTTCATTTTTATGCATGTTTTTTCGCTAAGACACGTGCGGAAAATTTTAAAAATTTGCTATTTTTTAACTACAATGATCCCTAACTTAGTAGTATATGCACTTGCTTTTAAGATAATAGCTCAAAATTGTTAATAGCTTTCTAAATAAAATGTTCATAGGGTTTTTCGTTTTGGGCGATAAAATTGTATTTACAGTGTTTAGGTATATGTAAGAAATGCCTTATTTTTACCTAAAAATAGCCATTTTACAAATAAATAAATTAATAATTTTTTTGCTAGTTTTACAAGTTTTTACACATAATAAAACACATAAAACAGTCCTTCAAAATTTTATATTGAGTTTTTTTAAAAAAAGTTCTCGAATCTAGTCGTATTCCTTAATAATAGCACAATTAGATGCAAGTACCTACTATTCTGAAGCTTAAAATAAGTATCGTAATATGTGTATTTTTATTGCTATAAGCCCATCAAATTTTACTATTGCAATAGCTTATGACAAACTAATTACTTTTATTTAAATTCTAGTTAAAAACAATTAAATTACCTCTTGCCGTCTGGTTAAGGCTTCTCATCTGCTCGTGTCCAACACATATCTCGGAATCCATTGATTCCGGTAGATCATCGCAGTCTAGATCCTCCGGCCAAGACACAGAAAATACTCCCAAGAAAAAGTTGCATTTCCTGATGGTTTCTGAAAATATCAGAATTTCGTTTACTCTTTTTTTCTCAATTCAAAAATAAATTATCTTCTAAAATGGCGAAAAAATATTGAGAATGTGATGCCATAATAGGCATTATATATTTCATAACTTTTAAAATTTCTCAATTTCTTAAATTTATTTTTTTAATCATGAATTAAATTTTAATTAAATTAAGCCAAATATTTAATTTTTATTATATTTTATAAAAAAGTTAATAGAAATATTTTATTCTTTTCTTAACAATCAAAGTAACGGTTAACTTTTTATTTCAATACGAATCTAAAACTCACTAATTCACTGTCGGGACTAAATCGAAAACAAAAATATTTTTTATTCATTATTCTTTATTTCTTATCACAAAAATGTTTCAGTTTCATGGCTATTCTCACGATCCTTTTTGGCGATTAGCTATAGCCAAATAGCTTTGTTTTTGGCTATTTTAGCTTTCGATAAAAAGCCAACTATGGATCTCTTCCAATGCTCCTAATTGTCTGTTGGGAGCAATTCGCTTTACTTTTAATTTTGAATTCTTGGCATTAGGACTTCGACCTGGGGGCTTCGGCCCTCAACCCCAACCATTGAATTTTCATCTTTACAGAAATTCTTGATGTGAGGAGAAGGAATCTCTTGATTACTTTATGGAACTTTATTTCATTATTTATAAGTATAGCTATATTCTTTAAATAATCAACAATTTTTCTCAAAATGAATTTGTTAATATCCCTCTATCCCTCCTTCACATATCTCTACCTCATAACCAAAGCAAATGTATCTCATACGGCTAAAAATATGCTTCATTACAATGATACTACCTCCACTAATCACTGAATTGGACTGACCACCACCATCAAAGGAAGCAAGTGTAAATTTAAGAAAAAATATACTTTTTCATACAAGCATTGTTTGATACTGACTATTTTCTGGAATTTTAAATGCCTTCTTTACAAAATTAGTGAGAAGTTTGGAGCACATTAAGGCAGTATATCGTACAAATTTGCTGAAACCATAATACAAAGCGAATTTAAAAAAAATGCAAATTAATAACGTACTCGTACAGAATACTGAAATTTTAACAAGCATGGATCCGCTAAACACCTTATTGAGGTTGCAGCAATGCTTCATTATTTTAAATATTAAGTGATATTTTCTTGAAATTGATGTACATACCTTTACACAATGATCGACATGGTGGTATAAGTGTACCCTCTCCCATGCACTTGGGTGCATATAAGGTGCAGAGAAAAAGCGGGAGTAACGAGTAGCACTTCACACTGACCAGTGGCTCGTATCGGGCCATAGCTTCGCTGGCTTCATTCTGGTTAGTGTGACCAATTTTGTTCGGATACACTGTATATGAATATGGAACTTTGTACTTGTGACATAGAGGGAGCCTCAAGGAGCTGCAACCTTTGCCTGGATAAGGAAAAAAAAATCTATTAATTAACATGACAAATATTGATTAGTAATATGACACATACGTTTATTAATTAATGTATATATTTTTAAAATAGTTGTGATCTTAATTAATCAGCACATCACAAGATCGATTTTGCAAAAATTTTAATATATTGGTAGCGAATTAAATTGTAAAGCAAATTGCTGAAAAGAAAATCGTTGAATTGTTAATTATGAAATAAAGACAATTACGCCCTCTCTTTAAAAGAGTAACCATGACATGTATGCAATGAAGTTGTATTTCATATCATAATTTAAGTTTTTGATATGAGGTGGTGCAAAATTACTTGAAATGAAATACTAAACTAAAAGTAAATTAAATCGCTCATAGGCTGCAATAGTGGCACAACTCAAAAAACACGCGTTTTGGACTAAGAGCAGGTGTAAATAGGAAAATACACATTCTTTTCAGCAGCAATACTCAACAACTCATAATTCAACTTGAAGGTAATCTTCGTTTAATCAAACTAAAGCAATTCTTATGCATTTTCCTTAGCAATGAAAACTTTAAACCCCCTTATCTCAAAACTTGACTTTTTGCGTTGTGCAGCTATTGCAGCCCAAGAGCGATATCTCGTCATCACTAGAAAATACTGTTTTACAAAGCGGAACAAGTTGGCATCTCTGACATAATTTTATGTAAGCAGAGCTACGTATCAAACACATAATTCGGACACCTATCAGTTAAGGAAGATTTGAAACTGTAATTTTGCATAAGAAGATAAAACTGGATCACCGTGACCCAGGAGTTAAAGTACTGAGCCGTCAGTGTGAAGTATCGGGGTTCTATCGCCGGAGATGACTCGAAATCTTCTAATTTCAGATTGATGGGCACCAGCTTGTCTGGGAAGTTGAATCAGTTTTTGAGTAATTAAATAGCTAGCATTGACATTTTCTTTGGATTTTTTAATGACGATTTAAACACATATTTGCTAACAGCAATATGACGGAGTTAATGTGTTGTTCTCATCCCCATGACCAGCAGAGCTAGATCAGGTCCAAGAGCTCGTTCACTCTAAGAAAGTCTAGCACCAGCAGGGGAGCTTGAACCAGTCTGCCTGGTAATGAACAATTCATGGATGGGGTAAGGAGCAGCTTCTATGGTCAGAGACCTGGAGCACCAGCGGTTGAAGACTGACTTAGCTCCGGTGCCTACAGACTTTAGCTGGATGTAATGGATGAGTGGATGAATGGATGAGTGACTGGATGTGTGGCCTTCACGCCTTGGGTGGCCCTACCAGGAGTATACACTCCCGACGTACTTTACCCACTGTGCCCAGTGTCAACCCCATGCCTAATGTAAATCAAACTATAACAATTGAATAACCATTGCAAGAAAAATTCCTGTTATTTAATTTCAACAATAAATTAAATTGTTCTATTTTGTGATAAGTTGACGCTTGAAGTCTAGATTCTAGTATAATAAATATAAAGTATGAAAGATATTAAACCATAAAAGCTTAGGTATTAAGCATAATAAAGTTGGAAAGAGGGAGCGAAATGAGCTCAATATCACGTAGCAATCTTTAATGAACTGTGCAAGCAGTTTTAGAGAATAGCGAGTGATAGAGAGTTTAGACGAAGTTCCCTTGTATTCCAACTCACAAATTTTTTTATTATTAATTTTAAAAATTAGGCGATAACTGAATTAATTCTGAATAATTTTTTTAAAAAAAGGCCCAATTTAGAGACGAAAAACGCCGAATTTCAGAAGTGCTTAAAATGAAATAAACGCGTGCAGTAACATTTATTTTTCAAGCAAGCAAGGGTTCTTTTTTAATTTATTTTGCTTATTAGTGAAAAATTTGAGTGCTTTATTAGAACATAGATATATGAAATTAATTGTTTATTAAATATCGTTAAGTTTGTAATTATAAGGAATAAGAAAGAGCCGCTGCAATGTTAAAGTATAAATATTGTACAGTATGAAAAAAAAGGACTACTTTGAATAGCTTTTAATCTAATTATTGGATTTTCACGTTCTGGGACTCAATATTCATGGTTTACGGAGGGTGACCTCAAATATGCTAATTAATTATTTCAGATTATATTTTAAGCTACAAAATCAGAAACAAAAACGTACTTTCCCTGAATAACCACATCTTTTTTTGACGGATTTGGATTTCCGACCCCCAAAACATAGGGGGGAATCGCAATCTGGGAAAAATGGTCCCAAAAGTTTGGACCACTTAGCATTAATTTTACTTCTTGCGTATTTCACCATATTTCTAGAACTTTTTGAGCGAAATAAAATTTTTTTACACAAAATTACAAAATTTGTCGGTCCAAAGATAATTCTATGCAAAAAATATAGTAAATAATTATTATTTTTTATTATTTCATTTAATGATTGTCGAAAGCATTTTGAATTATAAGGTAAACAATTTCTTGTATCTTCTAAATGTAGGTAATTTAACATGCCATAATGCAAAATTTGTGCAAAATTGGTTAAGTACTTCCTGAGAAATCGAATTTTGAAAATACCACTTTTTAAAAATTTCATTTTTCAGGAATTATTCGACTGATTTCGTTCAAATTTTGTATTTCGTTATGTGGAATTACATACATTAAAATGATGTAAAAACGTATGTATTACAAATCAAACAATTTTCGAATATAACTAAATAAAATAATAAAAAAATAATGAAATTTACTGAAATTTTTTTCTTGCCTGGAATTGTCTTTAGCCAAATGAATTTTATCATTGTGTACAAAGATGTTTTAATCCGTTTAAAAATATCTCAAGGTAGAGCAAAATAAGCAAAACGATTAACATTAAGGGGTGCAAACTTTGGATCGCTCTCCTGACCAAACTATGGGGATCAGATTGCGGCCCTATATTGAAGGGGTCAGAAATCTGAATCCGTAGAACAAAAGATATGCTTATTCAGAGATAGTAGGTTTTTTTAATTTGATTTTGTTACTTAAAGTAACGTTTACACTAATTATTTAGCATATTTTAGCAACCCTTTAAACCATTTAGACCTAGAACGTAAAAATCCAATCATTAGATGAAAAGTTATTCAGGGTGGTCCGTTCTCTGGTGCACTGTACACATAACAAGAAATCATTTCGGTGTCAGTACATCCTCATTACATTTTCGAGCATTTTAAAAACGGTATTCAGTTTCTTAATGATACACAGGGAAAAAAAAATTCCAATTAAATATTTCTGGTAAAAAAACCCACATAATTCTGGTAATAAAACCAAAATATACGATATTTAAACTATTCATTAGGTAGTTTCTTTGTTAGTGTGGCAACGGTTTACCGGAAATTCTGATTTTCAAAAGTACAGTTCTTGGTATTCACATTTAGTAAAAATACAAAACTGAAAAGTAAATTTAACCGAATAAATAATTTAACTCTATGTTTCATGAAAAAAATTAACAAATCTGATTAAATATAGCAGATTTTATCACTTATTATAAAACCATATTTTATTGTTAATTTTAACCAAAATGACTACCAAAGAACTTCGGTAAAAATTACCGAGATTTTTGGTATTCCTACGGTAAGTTTTACCATATTCTGGTAGTTTTGACAACGCATTTTTTCTCAGTGTATTATTATTCCTAAGTCACATTTCTGATCAAAGAAAATGTTTCCCAAACAACTTTTTTACACGAAGAGAACATTCATTAAAAGAAAACATTGCTTCATTAAATATTTTCCTAGAGGCATTGTTCTTTGTCCAAACAATTGCATGCTTGAGTAAAAATGAACCAAACTATTTGCTAACTATTCGGAAAGTTTATTGCTTAAATAAACTTTCAGAAACATAACGCTTCTAAAGATTAACATCTAGAGTAACTATATTTTAAATAACAGATCTTTAAAACAGTTTGCAAGCAAAAATTGATTAAAAATATTTTAAAAAGACTGAAAGACACTTATAAACTTTGTTTTAAATTTAACTTTAACGGTAGCCGAATAGCAAATGCCAAGTAAGAATATTTGCGAAATTAGTATTGAAATTTGGAAAGTTGTTGTGGTACTTTATTAATAGCAGCTGGTCGGGTTGTTTTACACCTTGCAATTTCTTCCGGGATTTATCGAGTTTAAAATTTAAAGTACACAAAATATCTTAAACTTGAGGAGAAATTCTATGTATTATCGTAATAATCAAGCCTCAAACCTGCAAACATATGAAAGAAAGTTAAGCGAAAGTTTTAATTGCTTGTGAGGATATTTATCCTAATCACGATCTATTTATACAGTTTTTGAAACTTTCTTCTTATAATCATTATAAACTAAAGTTAAATGTCGCAAGTTAAAGTTAAATAAGAAAAAAAAGGTTTTTAAATTTGTCATTTTATCTGACTGTTAATAACAATTAACCTAAAATGAACATTAAAAACAGTATTTTTCATATTTGATTAACCCATTTTTGACCAAAGGTGCGCAAACTCAGCATTTCAATAAATATTTTTTTATTAACACTGCGAGGAATATTTTTCACTAATTTCATTTTTCTGTTATTGTTAAGGGTTCTGAGGACATCTATGAAATATTAGTAATCCAATTAGAGTAAACACTTTCTGTTGAGAAATTTTTAAACTACTCTAGCTTATTAATGACAAATGAAATTTTTTGAGATTTATCATACGTTTTTGAGATTTATCATATGCTTTTATGATATATTAAAGTTGCAAGTCAGTAAATAAAAAAATATCTCATTAAAAAAAAACAAGCGCTCAACTAAATGGTTTGTTTATTGATTTAGTGAATGGTGCTTATATCTACGATTTTATTTCTTAAATAAAGTGTAATTTTTCATACATGAATTTTTTTTGCTTCTTAATGAATGTAATGCAAGCATATTTCAATTAAAATAACACCACATTTTATAAAGTTTCTATGCTTGTCCTGAAATGGGCAAAAGAAGCTGAAACGCTATATTAATGATTATTTAACCAATATTTATTGAGATGTAAATAATGATACATAGTGCATAAT